TCGCGCGGCGTCCGGTCCGGCGCGACGCCGGCCGGCGGCAACGGCGGCGGACGTACCGCGCGCCGGCGGCCGCGCCAAACCCCGTCACGACCGCCGACCGCGGACGGATCTGGCCCCGCAGCGGACGCCGGTGAAAGGCTGCGCCACGCCGCGCCACGGCCGACAATTCACCGCGGTTTCTATTTGGGGTGGCACACACGGGGTTTTATCATCGGGCTTGGCCGCTGTGGACTGCGAGTCCACCCCTCTGACTGAAAGTCGCAGCTGCGGACTATGAGTCAGCAGTCTCAAGCAGTACGGGTACAGTGTTGTGGCTTATTCTCGTACGTGTGGTCAACGCAGCAGGCCAGTCAGTTATGACGATATTTGTACTCAGGTCAATGCATCCCACATATTTGATATTTGGGACGCAGTAGCGGCTTCATAGCGCCACGTTTGGAAACAGATGGCCATACCAGTACCTCAGGTGATTAGCGCAAGCTTTCACTGCAAAAACCCACCAAGGGCCGTACATCTATTACCAGATGGTTGTATAAGGACTCCGCGACGAGCACTGCATATCGTAAACTCTGATCCCAGATATGCATGCAATCAAAATCTATGGACCAAATATTACAAAAATGCAAGGCGATTCTTCTTTTAAACTCATTGGCAAGGATATTGGCAATAAGCGTGCAAACCTCTTCGCGCTACTCCTAGGTTCCACGAAACCGGAAATGTAAAAGAACGAATATGCAAAATAATTATTACGAGCGATCTTCCACATTAAGAGTGCACGTGCATACGTCCGATACATTTCATCAGCTTTGCACTGTGCGATGCAGTTCTTATGGTGATTTTCCACTGCCTTGTCCTCTTTCTTAGAATCCAGCAAAAAAAAGAAAAAAAAGAAGTGGTCCTGAGCAGATCATACGTTTCGAACACGTCTGACGTTAATCTCCGATAGATCTCCGATGCAAACCGTGACTTGTCCGTGACTGTGGCAAAGAGACTTTCTCCTGGCTTTCAACTGTTAAGTTATATCTAAATGTCCTGAACTTCATTCGCATTCATTGTTTGCACGGATGCCGTTTCGGACTAGGCCCCATACTAAGGACGGGGGGGGGGGGGGGGGCTCATGTGTTGCGAGGGCACTGACCGCGCCACCGAAGTGTGTGAGTCGAGACTATAAGATATTTAGGCCTTATTATTCAAATACTTAGCAAAGTGAATTTCTAACGTGTCACGTAAGGCCACGACATTGGCGGTCGGTAAAAAGCTTTCTCCTCTTCGTCGAGGAAATACAACGCCTTAGGTGGGAGTCCGACCTCTCCTTGGTGAGGTGGGAGCCAGACCCACCCACTGGCAAGGTGGGAGTCAGATCCACTCACCGATGAGGTGGGAGCCAGATCCATTCACTGGTGAAGTAGGAGTCAGACCCACCCACTGGCAAGGTGGGAGTCAGACCCACTCAATGGCGAGGTGGGAGTCAGACCCACTCACCGATGAGGTGGGAGCCAGATCCACTCACTGGTGAAGTGGGAGTCAGACCCACCCACTGGTGACCCTCGACCCCACTGAGTACGACGCTCACTGATCGCCCGGGCCGGCGCTCTGACCACTACCCCTATCACTGGGATGACGGAGTTGTTGCAAGAACAGGAAAAATGCAACTCAATCCGAGGGAAAAGGATATAGCAATCCATGGAAAACCCATGGATCTCACCGATACCAGGACAGAACATCATAATCTCTTAACATGAAAGGGCCTTGGGTCTTGAGGACAGCAGGGCTGTGAAATGCACCAAATGATCTTCAAGATCACTATTTCAGTTCAAAACCTCATACAAATGTGGAACACTCCCTTTACGAGGGCGGACCACAGACCCTCGCACCGTACTCCCGAGGCTTGCGACCATGAAAACAACACCACAACACGCACACCGATCACTTGGGCTTTCGGGTACCGTGGCAGCGCGGTCAAACGGCGCCCGTAACTGGAGTGACGCCAGACAGGTTCTGTGGCGCCAGCCGGAGGCGGGCGAGGTTTGGATGCTGGTTAAGCAGGGCTGACTACGGTCACTGCAACGCACGTCGACCGCTGCCTGCGTTGGTTTTTCGTGCTGGCAACGTACCGACCCGAACTGACCACCGCACACTTTGGACGCACATCATCGTGTGGTTTGACCTGACCTGGCCCTGTTACAAATGTATTACCATACTGCACATACCTGGACAAAATTTACTTGCACTCGCTCAGGTTGGCTTACCAGGCCAGCCTTATGGGATGAGGTAAAACATAGTTTGGTTATGGGTGGCAAACCAGCATGCCATTCATTTTTTCCCACTCCAGCTATTAGACTTAGTCGAAATCGTCATCGCCAAGGTCATCGGCCACCGAAAGAGGAACATCGAAACCATCGGAAAAGGCATGCCACAGTCTGGTGGGACTAAATAATGTCTTCCATTCAGAAGCATTGCACACCTACCTTCTTTATCACAGTCCACCTTCGCCATTATGACTCGATTCTTGTCCAGTTTCTTGGACACCAGATCTGCACCTTCATCCCAAATCGGTTCCAGCATGTTGCTAAAGCGGCACCAGTCGGCATAGAAGTTTACCAGCACCAGCTCAGTTGAAGCTGTTGGATACAATGTTTCATAATTAATGATTGTTCATGTACCTTAATCCCATTACTGGACTTCTCATATCACAAAAGTTTATCACATACAAAATCTGACTTGGTCACACTGCAGATTGAAGCTAAATTGGCTACAACATGGTCAGCTTTGGTCTACACCGTGACTATGTTTTAAAGTAGTCCTTTGTATGCCTAAACATACTCAGTACCATTACATCACTTTGCTTACGCGTATCACACCACGATAGTTTTGCTTCACAACTCATTTCACAACACACTGCTTCAAATATAAATTTCTTACCTATCACTTTGTCAAAGTTGTCTTCTGTCAGCTGCAAAGAGCTTCCATGTATTGGCTGTAGAACAGCCAGTAATTGCTGTAAACAATAACAGCATAAGCAATGATATTTAACTGCCATGAAATTGTGGGATTTCATGAAATTGTCAGTAATAAAACATATGGCAGGACACAAAGAGGCAAAAAGAAGCTGGCAGCTTCAGCATGCCTACTGACATCATCAGAGTAGTGCCCTATGAGACAGCAGCACATATGTAACAGGTGCATGGCCTTAGGAGCCCTGAGATCTCTAGGCACCCTGCACGTGTGGATGTTGTCAGGGTGCGTGACATAGTCACACACATCCCACCAACTCAGGCACCTGCATGTCAGTTAAAACAATCACAAACACAAATCCCTGAGATGACCCTAGCCCAAAGATCACATGTTGCACTCTGTGCAAATGTTAGGCAGCAACCTGTTCCAGACTGAGAGGCAATGCAGGAAGTGTGGAACTGGAAAGATGTGACACTGGACAATAATGTTGCTGGCCATGGGTAAAAGGTGGAAACTTTCTATGAACAGAGAAGGGTAGAATTACTATTTGGTCAGGTCAGTGATGTGTTGTTGAGACCATATCATGCTTTCTGATAAATTATGTGGGTTATTACCCTATACCTTCCTCAAATTTACATTTGTTTGTGTAGGAGGTTTAAGGTTTTGAGAACATGGCAAAAACAATTGTTACAATTATCATAACTCAATATAAAGAAAATGGAACTTGATATTACCATTGTTAGACTACCTTGGTGCATCTACCACAGTGTCCTATCCAATGTTCTCAAGCTTTAGAAGAAGAAGCACCAGATACAAGTTGGACAAAATAGTATCCAAATCTATGGGTTGTGGTTTAAGTCACATAATTGAAGACTGGTAGTCAGGTGATATATCTTTTTTCACTTTACAGATATCTGACAGGAATAAAAACGAGATCATATATTGAGTTACAGCAGACAACAACAAAAGGCACATCGTACACTATCATACTTTATCTGTGACCGGCTATCTTGTGATTCATAGGTATATCATGCATACATTTGAGCGTGTTTACCACAATTTACACCCATGTGTGCCAATTACAAGGATGGATCCAGGATGACATAAGGTTCCAAGTTAAATGGCTCATGGGATGTTTTCAAGCTCTTAGTAATAAGTGCATGTCTGCAAGGTGGCAAACAAGGCAGCAAGTGATGCATCAAAGTTCAGAGATGCATGGTAAGTATCTACCTCCCTAGAATACATAATCCCAAGGCAGGTCTACAAATAGGTCTACCCCAGTCATGTCGCTACCTGGGCGGGTTAATCAACTCATCATAGTTAGCAGTGGCTGAGTCGCAGGGTCTGCTCCACGGAGCCTGCTATCACCATCTTAAGGATAAATTCCTGCTTGTCATGACTTCACCGAAGTCAAGTACCCACAACACACTCTGGAAATAAAACGGCGGCAGGCTTCAATGGCCCGCACGAACTCCCACGTAGCTTGCTATTACTCACCACGATAACAGCGCACAAATTTACGTAATGCATTTTCACTTGGCTTCTGTGCTGATTAGCCTAGTAGCAGCTTACACCTGTGGAGCGATGCACGAACACCCAGATAGTGAATAAAGTTCACAATTCTGTGCAATTAATTAACCCCCTCGCGACCGCCCGGAAAAGACAACACCACGACCGACGAACCGTAAAGCATCCGTAAAAGCAAAGCCGCTTATTTGTCACAGCTGCGGTTCGTCACTCGGCACAGGCATTCTACCGGAAGTAGGCTATGTTTCGGTGGTCCTTTGATGACGAAATATGTAATATACTGAAATTATCGTATCAATATTAACTCCTAATTTCGGTTCTATTTAATAGCAGCAAGCTTAAAAAACCAAAAAATTACTTTTTTTAGAAATATAATGTACTCAAATAGATGTTTAATCGTAAATGCATAATCACTTTGTGCCACGCGTTGACATCTGTGTGGTAAGATTCTCTACTATTTCTACCAGCATGTGAATCGGTTTTCAAGGCCAAGGATCGCGAGGCTTTTAATTCGACAAACACGTGGTGTGTGCCCGTAGTGGGATATCTGGGTGTTCGGGTGGGGTTTAGTTTGTTAGGCTTGGATGAGTGGGTTTGATCATCGTATGGGGCCGGTGCAGTAGTTGGCGTTTTCATTAATCCTCCGTATTTCAGCCGTTTTTAAGAACGACTGGTGAGTTACTGCGCACATTTTTGGATTGATCAATTCCCTGGTTTCGTTGTGAGAACACCCAGCAACGCCGGTATGGGGTGTGGGAATGGAGCGTCGGAACAAGTTTGTGTAGCGGAGATGCCCAGATGTAATGCATCTTCGTGATTGATGAATATGCCAGGTTGTTTAAAAAAACAAACTTGTGCTAACACTGAAGCCTAGGAATGCCTGATGTGGTCATTGTGGCTGTTATACACACACAGTCTCTAAGGCTATATGACATCATCTGGCTCTCCTCCAGCAGATTTTATGTTTTCTTTGATTGCATTCCACTTTCTCCTTGCCATGTACTGTATGTGGGCCATGTGAATGTTCTGTTGAATGGTTTTTCAGGATAACTGCATTCTTGGCAAAGAAAACAAGTTGGTCAAAATGGGGAAAAAAGATAAGAAAAAGAAGGGCCAGGGCATAGAAAAAACTGCAGCAAAAACTGAAAAGAATTTGTCCAAGAAATTAAAGAAGCAGCTAACCAAGAAAGGAGAAGTATGCAACATGTCATTACTATGTTCTGTCAGATTATGAGTCTAGTATCTTTTTTGAAGATCATAACAACATTATTTTTTAACTCAGAAATGTTGTGCATACTCACTCTTACTTGGGCAAATGTTGATAAAAAGTATGTTATTGTCAGTTTGTGCTAATGTGACTATGGCATAGCAACTAGGCCTGCCAGTGCATGTCAGCTAATCTAAAACTCCTGGGTAGGTTTACTGCCATTGTTCAGTAGCTAGTGAATTCTCTACCATTCAGACTTGCAAGCCACCTTGGTCTACTTGGTAAGTCATCTTTTGCAAAGGTTTATGGTTATGTGAAATCCAACATTTTCTTCTCCAGGAAAGTGTGGAGCTGATGATTGGCCGTTTGGTGGCTGAGGAAGAGCTGAAGAAAGAGATTGTAGAAAAGGTTTCACCACCACCACCAGCCAGAAGCAGTTTTACCATGTGTGCCCATCCTGAAAGGGATGAGATTCTGCTGTATGGTGGTGAATATTTCAATGGCAAAAATGTGAGAAAGTTTTTAAATAAGCTGTGTGAATGTGACTTATTTTGCTCATAATAACTGATAATTAATATACCAGAATATACTGGCCAATTGATGATATCAAGCAGTCCTTGATATGCAGGGGTTTAGTGTCCTATCCACTTACAAGGCTGGCTGTACCTCACCCTTCACTCCCACCCCCATCTCTGCCTCTACCTCCATCCCCAAATTGGTCTTCAGCTATCCCAACTTTGAGAAAAAGTGCACTAAATCTTAAAAATAGCCCATTTGTTATTAATTCTGAGGTAAGGTTGAGTCATTTTTTACTGTTCAGTTTCTCAACTCATTTTGTGAACCTATGCATATGTCAGGATGTTTTTTTTTAGAATGTTTTGTATTTATGTGCTTCAAACAGCACTCATCATCATTTACACACTTTTGTTATAACACTACATCATTTCTTCCTCAAGAAGAGGTGACTGAGGTGTTTGTTACACATTTCATGTGAGTGAATCCTGTTGGATTGCATTGTTATTGAGGTGTGCATCCATAATCTTGTCGCTCTCCACTATGTTGTGTACTATCAGCCTCTATGATCACTGGACTGGGGCACCAGTACCTGGTGCGGTGGTTAAGCAGCATGACTGAAAATGTAGGCAGGTGTTTGATCCTCTGTGGTGCCTGTCCCTCCTACCATGGTGAGAGGCAGGAGATGCTATTAGTCCTCATTAGCTGAATGCATCATAAAGCCCCAATGACAATGACAACTGACACTGCAGAGTGACCTGTACCAGCTTGCGGCTGCTCGTCCGGCAGACGACGGTGTTCGGCGATCTGTACCAGTACCGGTGCCGGGCGGCGGAGTGGCGCCTGCTGCAGTACCCGCGCGGCCCGCCGCCGCGCTGCGCGCACGCGGCCGTGGCGGCGCCGCTCGGCGGGGGCCAGCTCTGGCTGTTCGGCGGCGAGTTCTCCAGTCCCAGCGGCGAGCAGTTCCACCACTACCGCGACCTCTGGTGCCTGCACACCAGCGCACGGCGCTGGGAGAAGATCAGGTGGATGGCACACGCTGGCAGCCACGCGCTGAACCAGTCACCACTCCACCATCAACATTCCCGGAGCCATCACTGTCCATCCTAATAGCTCTGTTGGTTAGAGCGCATGCCTTCTCATTCACCTGCCCGTGGTGGGGCAGGTTTGAGAAGGTTCATGCGCTCGCTTTTTGCCCTTGACTGGGATAACCTACGGTTGATGGCAGCAGCCGCGAGCTGGTATAGGTAGCAAGGACCGTACCGGGCATTCCAGGACGTTAAAACTTCGCCACCGAATTCTGCTTTTCACCCGTAATTTCACGGTCAGGGTGGGCAAGGCCTCACGCAACAAACACTGCACCGGGCGTGCAGTGCTCCCAAGCTCCATGCGATGAATAGGTTGGGACTAAACCTTTTTGAACAGTGATTGGGGTAGATGGTAAGTCCAGCACATTGCGAAAATTATTGTCCGTGCGTAGACCTTGCGACGTGGAGGGTTCGGGAATTGTCTAATTACATTGTATTTTACTCCGCTTGTTTCTGGCAGAAATCGATTCTGATATCCGTAGCATTAACCTGCATTATTCGGTGATCAGAATGCCGGACTAATTGTGTGGTGCAGTCATTGTTCGTGTCATAGCACATGAGCCGCGCTAATGAGCACAGCAGGTCGATATGTCGTAAAATGGAAAGACTAAGTCAGTTTGCTGCGCGGCAAAATATCGAGTCAAAATAGCGAAGCATGGCGCCTCGACGATAACGTTCAGCCCCTTTACGTCGTTTAAACAGTCCTATGCGGATTTCAGCTGGGCGCACCGAAGCACAGCGCCACACTGAGCGTCGACCTCACGCCCTCACGGTCGTTAGCCAAGCGTGCCATCCCCGCGCCCCATGTGCCTGAACGGTGCTGACCGGACCGCTCGACTTTCCAGCGCGGCGGGCGGCCCGTCCGCTCGCAGCGGCCACAGGATGGTCTACTACCAGAAGCAGCTGATCGTGTTCGGCGGGTTCCACGACAACCTGCAGAGCTTCCAGTACTTCAACGATCTGCACGCGTTCGATATCGACAGGCGCGAGTGGCGCAAATTGGAGGTGTCCGGTGAGAGGACGGGAGCGGGAGGGGTGCAAACTGGAGGTGACTGGTGAGAGGACGGGAGTGGGAGGGGTGTATACTGAGGGTATCCGGTGATAGGACGGGTTAGGGAGCAGTGCAAATTGGATCTCTCGTTGTTGTACGTGGCTCAGACAAAATTGCCTGCTAAAAGTGCCTCGGACACGCCGGTACCCGACTTGTTTGTGCCGATTCGTTCGCCCCTCACGCTGATGCTAGTTGTGCCAGTCTTTTGGTAGTGTCAACGCTTCTCCACGGTGCCGCGCCCTCCCCCTTCCTCCCCCCCCCCCCCTCGGTGTCGTGCCCTCTGCCCCGGTGCCGTGCGTTCCACTCCGGTACCATCCCCTCCGCCCCGTTACCGTGCCCTCCGATCCGGTACCATCCCCTCCGCCCCGGTACCGTGCCCTGCGCTCCGGTACCATCCCCTCCGCTCCGGTGCCATCCTCTCTGGCCCGGTACCGTGCTCTCCGCTTCGGTACCATCCCCTCCGCCCCGGCGCCATCCCCTCCGCCCCGTTGCCGTCCCCTCCGCCCCGGCGATGCCGCCTCTGGCTGCCTGCTCACCGCACACCGTGCCCGCCAGGTCAGGGCCCGTCGGCCCGCTCGAGCGTGGCCATGCTGGCGCTGGCCGACGGCCGCGTGCTCGTCTACGGCGGCTACTGCAAGGAGAAGGTGAAGAAGAACGTGGAGAAGGGCACCACGTTCAGCGACATGTACCTGCTGACACCGGACAGTGAGTACCGGCCGGTGGGAGGTGCCCGGTTCGCGGTCACCACTGCCAGCTGCACCCGGAAGCCGAGAGGCGGGCGGCCGCGTGGGCGAGCCTGGGAGGACTTGTGGTGCCGTCCGTGAGACATCTGATGCTATGGGGATGCCATGTGAGCGTTGGAAAGAATATGACCGTCGTAAGGCGAAAAGGCCTGTGTGCCATTTCGTTAAAAACGCTTTTTGAGTTTGGACGGCAGAATGGGGGTTGCTTTTGTAGGATAACTTTTTTAGACGTCCATGTGCACTCTGATGGTCGTTAAGACGGGTCAGCTGATTACCGTTGGTGTTCGTGAACATATTTCTGCAACCGCTCTGTTGATGCGTGGCTAAAAACGCTAACCCTCAGCCGTTTAACGCAGTGCGCACAAGTAAACAACTTGCTGCATTGGTGCTGACAGCCCTGGGTTTGTGCTATCATCCTATACCACGAACATAGCATAGTGTGAATAGTTTTGTTGTCGGGGTGTGCGTGTGTTTCAAAGCGTAACCCGATTCTGACCCAGGTGTATGAACCGGGTCACTGTGGCTTGTTCTGTTTCGGACCCTCCTTTGCGTCAGGCACTGTTGGCCGCTCCAGAACCCGCCGCGAGTCCGACAGTCGCCTGCGTGACACATGCGTGACGCCCCGGACCCCCGCCCTCCTCGGGAGCTGGACAGCTGGCTCCGTGACACACGCGTGACGCCCCGGACCCCCGCCCTCCTCGTGAGCTGACAAGCTGGCTCCGTTGACACACGCGTGACCGCCCCCGGACCCACGCCCTCCTCGGGGAGCTGGAACAGTTGGCTCCGTGACACCCGCGTGACCGCCCCGGACCCCCGCCCTCCTTCAGTGAAGCTGGACAGCTGGCTCCGTGACATCACGCGTGACCGCCCAGACCCCCGCCCTCCTCGTGAGCTGGACAGTGGCTCCGGACACACGCCTGACGCCACCGGACCCCCGCCCTCCTCGTGAGCTGGACATGTTGGCTACGTGACACACGCGTGACGCCCCGGACACCCGCTCCCCCTCGGGGAGCTGGACAGGCTAGCTCCGCTGACACACGCGTGACGCCCTGACCCCCGCCCTCCTCGGGAGCTGGACAGATGGCTTCCTGTGACCACAGCGTGACGCCCCGGACCCCCGCCCTCCTCGGGAGCTGACAGCTGGCTACCGTGACACCACGCGTGACGCCCCGGACCCCCCGCCCTCCTCGGGAGCTGGACAGCTTTTGTGGCTCCGTTGACACACGCGTTACGCCCCGGGCCCAGCCTGGGACCCCCAACCCACCGGAGCTGTATAGTTCAGCCCGGCCTAACCGACGCCCGGCCGACTCGGCTCGCTTCAGAGACACGACCTGCGCCCCTGACGCGCTGGCGCTGGAGCCAGGTGAAGCAGAGCGGCGCGCGGCCATCCGCCACCGCAGGCGGCATGAGCGGCTGCCTCGTGCGCAGGGCGACAGCGTGTCTCTTCTTCGGAGGTGAGGGCGGCCTGACCTGATGCGATTGCGGCCCGTACGCTCCCCGGCCTTGTCTCCTGCACTGTGCTTGTGTCGTGCCGTGACGTGTTTTGCTGTGCTGTGCTGCGTCGTGCCGTACTGTGTTATGTCGTGCTGTGTGCGCTTTGTTGTGCTGTGCTGTGTTATGTTGTGCTGTGCGGTATTGTGTTGTGCCAGCTGTGGTGTGCAGTGTCTCGTGCTGTGTTGTGCCGTGCTATAACATGCCGCGTTTTGTCATGCCGCGCTATGCCATACCGTACTTTGTTATGCCATGCCGTGCTATGCCGTGCTGCACTGTGCCATGCCTCCTATCACATCGTGGTCCTTCTGTTCGCACCGCTATTCCTCCGGAGATGACGTCTCGCTGATTTGCCCCCCCCCCCCCCCGTCCCGTCCCCTCGCTGCCAGTTCTGTTCGGTTCCGTCGCGTGAGCGGACGGGAGCCAGCTCTGAACAGCAGGCAGCTGGGGCGGCGGAGCCGGGCCGGTGTGGAGGCAGGCTGCAGCCCCGCCAATGAGGCTGCAGCCCGGCTGTGTGGTGGGAACGATGGACGGTCGATGGCAAGTCGTTTTCTTCGAACTATTTTAAAATGTTTTTCATGTCTTGGGCGCCATGTCTGAAGCACCGAATGCGTCGTCACGTGGCAGCTGGGTGTCGCTCGGGTATGTTTGGGATCGCTGATGGGTGACATACATGTCTTCCCGCAGGCGTCACAGACGAAGAGAGTGACGACAAACTCAAGGGTACCTTCTTCAACGACATGTACATGCTCGACGCCGGCAAGGGCGTCTGGCACACAGGTGAGCTGGATGAGGCGCCTCGTGGGATCCAGGGGGCGCTAGCTCTGATCCAATCCGCGTACAGCATGTGTCGGAATCGACAGGCTGTGGCCCGATCTTGCCGCGGCATGCGCTGGCATCCAGCTGGCACCGACGCTCATCCGATGTTTTCACGGCGCGTGCTTGGATGTGCAGTGCGCCGGCTCGGAGCTGGTGCTGGCGCCGTACGAGCTGACCTGACTCGCTGCTCAGAGCTCGCCACCTGACGCTCATCCGTCTCCGTCAGTGACCCTCTCTGGCCGGCGGGACCCCGCCCGGCGGCGGCGCCGTCGCCGCGCGGCAGACGACCCGGCCCCCGAGCCGGCGGCAGCGGCGGCATCGGGCAGCGGTGACCCCGCCGAGCAGCTGGAAGCGATGTCGATCGAGGAGGAGGCGGCGGCGGTGGCGGCGCCGTCGCCGCGCGCCCGGGCCGGCCTGGCGGCTCGCGCCGGCCAGCTGTTCCTGTACGGCGGCCAGCTGGAGCGGGGTAGTGTAGAGGTCACGCTCAGCGACTTTTACCAGCTCGGTGAGTGGCAGGGGAGCGGCGCCAACGTGCCCAGGAGGGCGCCACCCGAGTCGTGTCACCTTGGGTGCTTTGTGTCTGGGTGAATTCGTGTCGCCTGCGGTGCTTTGGGTCTGGGCGAATTCGTGACGCCTTCGGTGTTCCAGATCTGGGCGAATCCGTGTCGCCCTCGGTGCTCTGGGTCTGGGCGAATTCATGTCACCATCGGTGCTCGCTCTGGGTCTGGGCGAGGTTGCGCACTTCGAGGCGCCGAGCTCACGAGACGTACGTCGGTCGCTGTCAGGCTGTTGTTCGCTAAGGAGAATGCTCAGAGATGTCTCAAAAATACTGGTTCTTCCTGCGGTGTGCCTGAAAAAGAAGGGGCCCGGTTCATCCGTAGGGAAGGGCCGCCCGCCTTGGGTACCGCTCAGGAGCTTAACTTTTCGGCAGGCGCTTCGTTTTTTATGAATTTCGAGAAGTCTGTTGGCCACGCCCTGCTTCAGCTAGACGTAATCAGCACTCCAGATGGAGGTGGCACGATGCTGAAACCCATTAATATTTGACGGTGTCTGAGGCGAATCGCCTGCTCCTGCTAAACCGCGCCCTGGTTTAAGGGGCGTGATCGTTTGACGGCACCGTCCGGCGGTCCTGGCGGGCTTGGTTCGCCGCGCACTGTCGTAGATGGAGATAGTGCAGGAGCACTGAGCTGAGCTGGCTTTCGATGGTATATGGTGTCCAGGGTGTAACCGCTCTGAGGGGGAGGGGGCTTGGCAGAAGATTTCCTCAAAGTTTTCCAAAATGAGGTTTCGCCCCTCCAATAATATTCTGCCCGTAGAATGCACGCTTTTCACGTTTTCCCATTGCACATGTCCTTTTCAGATCATATTGCCCCCAGATTTCAGTGTGACTCCTGCAATCCTAAGGCGTCCCCCCCCCCCCCCGCCGCCACTTCAGAGACGTGGTTACGTCTATGGATGGTGTGTTCCAACTCGCTCAGAGCCGGTCGTTTCTCTACCCGCAGACACGTCAAAGATGGACGAGTGGAAGACGCTGGTGGAGCAGCCCAAGGACGTGGATTGGCAGGGCTCGGACGACGAAAGCATGGACGGTAGCGACGACGATGAGGAGGATGACGATGAAGACGACGATGACGACGATGATGACGAAGAAGATGAAGACGACAGCGACATGGAGGATGAAGATTTGTGACATTTTTGAGATAGTTTATGCCTTTTGAGGTCGAGAACTCGATTGTCGTGTGGGTTGAGTTAGTGGCAAGATCTTTTTGGAGCGGGTTAGGACTTGTTGCGAACCGCTTCTTACACGTTTACCACATTTCCACGTCTGCTGCGTCAGCCTCGCTGTGGACTTGGTTCGCCAAAGCAGAGATCATGACGTATGTATTGAACATGCTCGTTGCCGTCTGGACAGTGCGTCCAACAAGCTACATGATTTCAACCAGTCTTTAATTTCCCCACTGACCCCGATTGCATTTCTAGACGAGACACAGAACGATGACTAGACATTACCCCGATCGTAGTTTCAGGCGAAATACAAAACGATGACTAGATATTACCGACGATCACGCGTCAAATCAAAATAACCACGGGCGCCTGATTTGTACCACCCCGTCACGGCCCACGCCCCAGACTCCCCTCCTCCCGTCGACTTCTACTGGGCGGTCTGCTCCGCCGCCGGCGCCGTGCTCTCCTCCTGGCGCTCCTTGGCCAGCCGGTTGTCCACCTCCTGGTTGTGTATGGCCGAGGCGAGCAGGCGTATGTTGCGCAGACAGCCGGCGGCGTGCTCCTGCAGCTGCTCGTCGGCCGAGCCGCACATGGCCAGCAGCGGGCTCACCGCCTGGTTCTCGTGCAGCGTGATGCAGTTGCGCGGCTCCTTGCTTAGCTGGAAGAGCGCCAGCGCCGACGGTCGGTGCACCTGCGCGTCCTTGCTGGCCAGGTAGCGCACCAGCGGCGCCACGGCCTTCTGCTTGCCGAACTGCAGCCGGTTCTGGCCCCACTGGCAGCAGCAGGCGATCGCCTTGGCCAGGTACTGGCGCACCCGGTCGTTGTCCTGAGGAGTGGAGGGGAGGGGGGGGGGGGGGGGGGGGGTCAGCGAACGCAATGGTCAGTTTGGCCGCGGGCATGAACGTGGACATTGATACAATCAGCGGTAGCCAACTGCGCGGTGTTACCGGCATCGAGAGCCGTTGTTTTTGTTGTGCTGACAATAAAGAGCAGAATAGTGAACCGGTGCTGAAACTTGCCTGCCACTGACACGAACCAGATCTGTTGTCTGTACCAACAGCATTCGATCAGTGGCACGAATACTCGTTGGCAAGTCGGCACTTCGCACGATTCACTCATTCGCGAAACTAAACTAAAAATTGTAACTGAGCGGCATGGAGCAGTGACGCGGTCAGCGTGTCGGTGCCCGCCGTTCCCCGGAGTGCAGAGCCTGGACCACTGCCTGGACCCGAGTAATGGTGCGGTAAGGCCAGTCTTTTGGGCCGGCGCTGAACAGCGACGCCCGCCGAGGGTGCCGGGACCGTGGAGCGCCGGTACCCACTGTGTGCGCCAGTGTTGAGAGCTGCGGCACGACGCCGTGGTCGGTGATGACGGCCAGGTTCTCCTCGTCGCGAGCGATCTCCGAGATGGCGTTACAGACGGACGCGAGCACCTCGGGGTCGGGCGAGCGGAGCAGGCCCACGATCAGCTCCAGCCCGCCCACGAACGAGCGCACCATCTCGCCAGCGTCCTGGAGGGTGGCCGAGAGGTCAGCGTCCGACTTGTAACCGAGGGATCTTTCGTTCCATTCCCGCCACGGGAAACTCTGACCGCTTTCGCGTGCAGCAGCGTGTGGTTACATCACAGGCCTTCAGTGACGTACGCGACGGACGAGCTTGAACGCTGGAGCGCAGACACGAGCGCAGCAGGACGAGATCAGGTGACGGCGGGCCACGCTGTACCGATCGCGGCCGGACGGACCACCGCCGCCTATCACGGACCACACCCCGCGTCTCAGCGTCACGACGGAGGGCCTCAGCCGCGCCGCCCGCACATGGCAGTCCGGCCGACGCACCCCGCGCCGCGCGCACTCACCGTGGCGTTCTGGATGCAGGGACAGATTGCCCAGGCGGAGGCCGCCTGCACCTTGTAGCTCGGGTTCTTCAGAAGCGACCACAGCAGCCGCACGCCGTCCAGGGCGTCGATCGTGGCCATGCTCTCGGCGTCCACGGCGCAGGCGCCGATGGCGTGCGCCACGTTCACCAGCAGGGCCTGCCGCCGCGCCGGGCTCGGCAAGAGTTAGGGGAACGCGTGCCAGTTGCCGCGGGCGGGGTAGCTTTTGCAGTCCTCTGGTGGAAGTGAACTCGGAAGACCTGGTGAGATCTAGCGCATTTTCGACATTAATGATGAGTAAGAACGCCAGCTTTTAGCGATTAACGATACCGCGCCCTAGCGTCACTTGTTTAGACGAGACCGTCGAATGATACCAGCCCGCACCACCAAAATAATGAAACTCGCCCACTGCCCACTCAGACAGGTACAACATGTCGCTGCCACTGACACCCCACCCCAATTAACTAGGGCATATATAGAGTATACACACCAATGTACATACCTGCATCGTGACCACTAGCTCACAGAAGCACGCTACTCTGTGCAAGTCTAGGCCTAGCATTACCGTGTTGGTCTCACTGAGCAGGTGCACCAGCGGCCTGATGCCCGAGTCCCAGCCTAGCTTCACCGTGCTGGTCTCACTGAGCAGGTGCACCAACGGCCTGATGCCCGGGCCCAGACCTAGCCTCACCGTGTTGGTCTCACTGAGCAGGTGCACCAGGCTGATCCCGGCCTGACCCGGTTGGTCACGAGTCCCAGCGCCGACGCTTAGCACCGTGTCTTGGTCTCATGAGCCCAGGTAGCCATCGCAGTAGGCCAACGCACGCAAATTTAGGCCTAGCCTCACTGTGTTGGTCTTGTGAGCAGGTGCACCAGCGGCCTGATGTCCGGGCCCAGGCCTAGCCTCACCGTGTGGTCTCAGTAAGCAGGTGCACCAGCGGCCCGACGCCCAAATTTAGGCCTAGCCTCACCGTGTTCGGTCCATCAGGGCACCAGCCCTGAGCCGGGAGGCTAGCCTCACCGTGTCGGTCTCAGTAAGCAGGTGCACCAGCGGCCCGACGCCCAAATTTAGGCCTAGCCTCACCGTGTTGGTCGCACTGAGCAGGTGCACCAGCGGCCTGATGCCCGGGCCCAGGCCTAGCCTCACCGTGTTGGTCTCGGTGAGCAGGTGTACCAGCGGCCTGATGCCCGGGCCCAGGCCTAGCCTCACCGTGTTGGTCTCACTGAGCAGGTGCACCAGCGGTCTGACGCCCGAACTTAGGCCTAGCCTCACCGTGTTGGTCTCGGTGAGCAGGTGCACCAGCGGCCTGATGCCCGAGGCGTTCTTGATGTTGGTACGGACATCCTCCATCTGAGCGCAGGCGCCGAGCGCGCCGGCCGTGTTCACCAGAATCTGCGGCGGCCGGCGGCCAGTGATCGAACGGCGTTGGCGTGCTGAACACCGTGTTGGCATCACGGCGTGTTCGGCGGGCGGACAGACTGGCGTCGCGCGGGCGGGCCAGGTCGAGCTGCGGGCGCTGATCCAGTGAAATCGAGCGGGGCTCGGTAACCGGTGTGAAATGCAAGTTACAACCCGCGATAGTCTCACAGAAGGTCGAGCTGCGGGCGCTGATCCAGTGAAATCGGACGGGGGCTCGGTAACCGGTGTGAAGTGCAAGGTACAACCCGCGATAGTCTCACAGAAGGTCGAGCTGCGGGCGCTGATCCAGTGAAATCAGGCGGGGGCTCGGTAACCGGTGTGAAGTGCAAGGTACAACCCGCGATAGTCTCACAGAAGGTCGAGCTGCGGGCGCTGATCCAGTGGAATCAAGCGGGGCTCGGTAACCGGTGCAAGTGCAAGGTACAACCCGCGATAGTCTCACAGAAGGTCGAGCTGCGGACGTTGATCCAGTGGAATCGAGCGGGGGCTCGGTAACCGGTGTGAAGTGCAAGGTAAACCTGCGATAGTCTCACAGAAGGTCGAGCTGCGGGCGCTGATCCAGTGAAATCAGGCGGGGGCTCGGTAACCGGTGTGAAGTGCAAGGTACAACCCGCGATAGTCTCACAGAATGCGGTGAACACACTGAACACCAGTTTCATGCACAACCAACGCGCTGAAATCGCTGACTAAACCGACCTCCGCACGCCAGGGGGAGGGAGGTCATCCTGTCCGACTTGGAACGAAGGGACAAACCCTGCTCTTTGTACCCCGATCAGTAGACTGGGAGCTTCCATGCATGGCCGTGGCAGGAGGCCTACGTTCTCCTCGACGGATACCGACAGCTGTTCCCACGCATGACACATCCCCACCTGCCCCCCCCCCCCCCAGCGCCTCCAGCGCCCCAGCCCCTCCCGCCACCACCGCCCCGTCCACAGGACCTGTTCGTTCTCGTTGTTGAGCAGGGGCACGAGCCTGTCGACGATGCCCAGCTCGTTGAGCTTCTTGGTATTCTTGGGGTCGATGGCGCACTTCCAGAGAGCTCCTGTGGCCGAGATGGTGATGGCCAGGTTGTCACTCGCCTCGGGCATCTGCAGCATCTGCACCAGCCGCTCCAGGCCGTTGAACTCGCGCACCATCCGGCACACGTCCGGGTCCTCCGCACACTGCCGCCATACGAGGCTGATGTTACAGCAGACGGTGGATTAACACGCCATCCGGCACACGTCCGGATCCTCCGCACACTGCCGCCATACGAGGCTGATGTTACAGCAGACGGTGGATTAACACACCATCCGGCACACGTCCGGGTCCTCCGCACACTGCCGCCATACGAGGCTGATGTTACAGCAGACGGTGGATTAACACGCCATCCGGCACACGTCCGGGTCCTCCGCACATTGCCGCCACACGAGGCTGATGTTACAGCAGACGGTGGATTAACACGCCATCCGGCACACGTCCGGATCCTCGGCACACTGCCGCCACACGAGGCTGATGTTACAGCAGACGGTGGATTAACACACCATCCGGCACACGTCCGGATCCTCGGCACACTGCCGCCACACGAGGCTGATGTTACAGCAGACGGTGGATTAACACACCATCCGGCACACGTCCGGATCCTCCGCGCACTGCCGCCACACGAGGCTGATGTTACAGCAGACGGTGGATCAACACACCATCCGGCACATGTCCGGGTCCTCCGCACACTGCCGCCATACGAGGCCGATGTTACAGCAGAGGGACAAATTAATACGCATAAGTACGCTTCACACAGCAAACCATACCGACAACACATTGGGATCAATGTGTCAGAAAGACATCAATTGTCGGATCGTTAGACATCGCATTGCATTGCAAGACATCATTGATCCGCCCTCGCTGGCGACGAGGTAATTCACCGCGAATCGTACTTGCCGTTTACGACATTCTAATCTTACTATGCTATCACCTACGCTCGATAAATCGCCCACTTTGCTCGCGCAATAAATCTAACTTCCCAAGGCCTTTGTGTATTGCGATGCCCCAGCGCCGACCGACCTGGTGGCCCCACCTGGAATATGGCGAAGGCGCCGTGGATCTGCAGCTTGATGTTGTCCTTGTGCAGGTGGTCCAGCAGGTTGCGCGTCATGCCCTCCTCCCGGATCGCCAGCCGGTAGCTCTCCTGGGGAAAGGCCGGCGGCGGTGATGGAGGCCGCCGCCGCAGAGGTGCGTGATCGCTCGGGGGACATCGCATTGAATCGCTTAGGCAATGCTGAACACAACAGCTGGCAGGCTTTTCCCTGAATGCAGATCTCCCACTGGCGTGTCTAAAGCCGTAGTTGGTGTGACATCTGCACTGAAATCTGTTTCAATGGAAATGCTTTTAACGCTGTGCCTGACCACATCTCCTGTGCTGGATCTGGAATCGGGTGCAATTTGACATGCGCCGCTCCGAATCAGAGTAGAATTCACAACCTATCAGAAAAACGCGACGGCCATTTAAACAAAGCTTACACATGCTTGTTCATGCTCGAAAGCACAGAAACCCAGACCAGACCCAGCCAACACGCGGCCGCCTCAGCATTCGCAACGCTCTGACGCCCGGCCACATCATCCCAGCAGCAGCACGTCGGCGCCCGGCCGGTCGGACCCGCCGCCTGGCGCGCGGGGAGCCCACCTCGGAGGCGCACATCTGGATGATGCCCATGACGGAGATGAGCAGCTCGGTGTGCACCGACTGCAGCAGGCGGCCCAGCAGCGTGATGCCGCCCGCCATGCGGATGCACTCCTTCACCTGACGCCAGGCGGCGGCGGTGCGACCGCAGTCAGTGGGGGGACGCGTCCTGCCCGCTGTCCACTCCGCCACGCGCTAGTTAACTGTCGGTTGAGCTGCTTTGAATGCTGCGGGACTCAACGTTGTGACCAAAAGCCGTGGGCGCTGCGTGGAATGAAATGCCTTCGAAAGGTTCGACGCCAGCCCCCCCCCCCCCCCACATACACTACACTCAGCTCGGGGGGGGGGGGAGGGAGGCGAAGTTCCCTCCCTCACAGAGACAGCTTTAGACGGGCATTGGTAAAATGACCCGGCGTTGACACGCCTATACATCCCAAAGGACAGCACCGGCCAGCCACTGTTATCTGGACGCGAACTTGCGAACGAAATGTTACGCTTCAAACGGCCACAGTCAGAGATAAAAAAACAAAGCCAAACGGCCCAACACTTCGGCCTTCTCCCACCTCCGTTGAGATTACCTTCCTCGCCTTGGCGAGGGACCAGAGGGCTAACGCGCCACCCTTGGCCACCTCCAGCTTCTCAAGCTGCTTCGGTGTCAGCGACTCCATAGGCTGGGTCAGCACCGCCTTGTCCACGTCCAGCAGGTCAACCTTCGCCAAAACACAGTGCCACTCGGTCAGCAGGTCCGACCTCTGACAGACTTGCCCCAATCAGCAGTTGGCTCTGCAGCTGCAGTACTCCAAGGCTCCGGGTCAGCCGGACGCACCCGAGCGCCTTCTCCGCCCGCCCGCCCCGGCCACGCCACGCCACGCCACGCCACGCCACGCCACGCCACCCGGTACGCACCAGTTTGGGGACGCCGCCGCTCTTGCGCACGATACGTCGCGCCCAGCGGAACTGCGCCACATTGGCGATCGTCTCGGACGCCAGCGCCTTCAGCTGGTTGGACGGGCTGGAGAAGAGGGTGACGAGCGTCTCCAGGCCGCCCAGACTGGCTATGGAGCGGCGCACCTCCGGGTGGCTCGAGATCACCTTGAGCACCTTCAGCGAGCCGATCTGTGGGAGCGCCGGGCCACTGAGGCCGGCGGCCGACGGCGCCGGAGCGGTGGCGGAGCGGCTGTGTCCGACCATCACGTCACTGCGGCGCGTTGGTCTCCCAGGGCCAGAGGACGTGTTCGACGGACGGCATCGCAGCTGGGGATGGCTGGGTGCGGGGACGACTCCACGCACTTGGCCCTACCCGCGCGATGCGATTCGGCCCAGTATTCAATAAGACGGGCGCTTTGTCATTTTTCTTTCGTATTGTGAGTAGTAAAAGGGGTTTGCTTTCTGGGAAGCGGTGAACTGATTTCACGTGAGCTTGCAAGCCAAGCTCAACATCGAGCAAATCGTCGTTTCAGACGGAATGCCATCGTGAGCTTTTTTGCGAGTGAAGAGTGGGTGTGGCCAAAGTGGGTACGCACGGCAACTTTCATAAAAAAGCAGTGCCTTCCCCTGAGCGTAGCATTCGCCCTGACTGACACGCATGACTTGGTGTAACAGCACCGCACACTGAAATCGCACAGTGCGAAATCTCTCACAGCTTTCAGGCGTCTAAGAAAACTTGACAATGAACCTTTCGATGCCTTTTGCGTAATATATGACGTCATCCGGTAAACGGCGGTCAATACCAGTGAATCGCAAGGCTTAGCCCCCGACAGAACATCAAGATTAACAGAGCACGCTCATGAGAGAGCATAAAGTGATCCCCGTTTGATGCGCACCCACATTTGCTCAACGCTTACCACTCTGCGCTCATCTCGAGCTACAGCGTGCTGACCAATTAAACATTTAGAGATACCTTGGGTGTCTGCAGCTACAAAGCAGAGTTTTCGTCACGTTCACGGAGACATAAGTAGACATATTGGCACAGAAGCTGCAGTGCAAAAATACGTGAAAAAAATAATACGTGATCAGTGGTTCGGTGAACACATTCCTCTGATTGATCGAAGTCACCTCATTACGCCCCAAACATGTTCAAGTTTCCTGTATACATTAATACGCACTGCCCTTTATGCGTAATGGTGCGAGCGCGGTGAAATGCCCCCGACCCGGCACCTCCTTCCCCCCCCCCCCCCCTCCGGGCGTCACCAGCTCACCGGACCTTACACCGGACGTCGTTGGTCTCGAGGATGTTGAGCAGCACCTCGAGGCCGCCGACGTCGCGCAGAGCCAGCTGACACACCTCCTGGTCGATCTGGTGGTCCCGCAGGGCGCAGAGCGCGATCACCGTCGCCGTCTGGTTGCCGGCCTGCGTGGCACGGGAGCGCGGTCAGCCGCGCGCCGCCGGCGACCGGCGCAGCGCAGCCGGCGACCGGCGCAGCGCAGCCGGCGACCGGCCGCAGCGCCACCGGCGACTTGCGCAGCGCAGCCGGCGACTGGCACAGTGCAGCCGGCGACCGGCGCAGCGCAGCCGGCGACCGGCGCAGCGCCGCTGGCTGGCCGCTGCCGGGGTGACGTGCGTTCAGCGGTGTCTGTTGTCGCGGCACAGGCGGGCGAACGAGGGCACGACTGGCGTGGACCTCTGCTGTCCGATGTGATCGGCGTGGGAACGGGGAGAGCGGCTGCATGAGCCACCCACATGCTGCGAAACGGCGACACCGACCTTGTATGCAGATGCATAGAAACAACGGACTTCAAGACGTGCCCCCCCCCCCCCCCCCCACATACACACACACCTCAAGCTGTTCGGAGGCCTTCATATACCATTGTCCAACTGTGCGATGGACGCACTTTGGACTTATTGCGGCCGGTCAACATGGTAACGTGATCTACCTCGCTGGTGCGGACAGGTGCAAATGTAAATGTGATCTGTGGACACGTGGCACGTGAGTGATATGACGAGTCGAAGCACATCGAGAGGCACGCCTTCTGGCTTAAAGGATGACATATGATCTAAGAATGCATTGCTTATCCAGGCAGCAAAGCAGAAACGACTACAGCTACATCATATCTGCAGGTACCTTAAGGTACTTGACGAGCTTCTGAATCTGCCAGTAGTCGGCGGGCAGGTCGACAGCTGGGTCGGTAAAGCGGTCATTGCTCTCCTCTTCCGACGACGATTCCTCGCTCGATGACGACAGGTTATCGGAAGCCGCTTTAGGGGTGACCTTGACTGTTTTTGAATCCTTACCAGTCATGATGGATATGCGTAAGAACGACTAGGCAAAGGACTAGGAGCGCATTCACCGTCCCTGAAATAGCAACATCGTTGGCGCTTTTTGCCCGACGGCTTTGATAGACCATGTTTTCTGTAACTAACGTGGGTGTAGCATTGCGTCGCTTTGAGTCATGGTGATCAGTGCCGTAGGCTTGGAGCATGGGCTTGACCGCAAACTAATTCCAGGTGGTTTCGGCTGTTTTTGGTGACCTTTGACCTGACTCAATGTTACCATGCTTTTAAGGATAAATTATCGACCAAGCGGCATCGGATGATGAAGGTTTCATGCTAATTTCTGCAATAAGTTCAGAATCGGTCCTTAGCATACCCTTCACAGGCTCTCCCATTTGGGAGAGGGGACTTCGCTCCCTTACAGTTTAAGTGGGCGAGTGAGCGAATTGCTCCCATGCCCCTCCCCCCCCCCCCCCTCCACCGTTCCCGCGTTAGTGACAATTTGGCCAGGCCTGAGCTCGGCACACGAGAGCGCGGGGCTCAACGCACCGATGTCGCACAGGCGTCCGCTGCAGTCGATATATTTTGGCACACTCGCCCACACACACGAAAAGAGCCGCATGGACTATTCAGCTTTATCTTCCGAGCCACTAATATTCCGAACTGTCGATTAATTCTACTGAATCGTTAAGTTCTTCGAAGACTCGAAATTGATGGAGAGCGGCTGACGTACGGAAATCTCGACTCCCAACACTCGATACAGCCACTCACCTGCTATAATCCTTTCTATCTCGCTATTTCAGATGGAATTCAAAACAACGGCGATATGATGACAACAAAGCACAATGGTCGAGCATTCTCGGCTTCATTGATGTCTTGTGCGTTCCGTATTTTGGTCCCGCTCATCCGCTTTCTCAAGTTTTGAAGTCATCGATCAGCTGAAGGTGCGTTGCCATGGAAACTACGAAAATGAGGCTTGGGACCGGGCGATAATTTGTTGAAATGTTTTTGTATACAATTTTCACGCAAATTTTAGGCAATAATACAGCACTGCTATGTGAGAATATTGATTACTTGTTAACACAAAACGCTACTACACAGTTTCCGTCGTCTTCGATGGAAAACCAAGAGTGCAAGACACAAAAACTTTATATGGTATCCCAAATGTGATCTGGCAGGAATACAAGAAGCTGCTAATATGCAGTGCGCCGGCTTGTGCTCGAAATCTTGAAGTTTGTGTCGGTATGCATCGCGTTGGTTCGTACTGTGGCCCCGGGGTGTTTACCTTTATGAAATTACAAGCAACTAGTCGAAATTGCTGCGGGAACCGTTTAATATAGTTCCCTTAGTCATGGCTTCGAGGGTGAGTGTGTTGTGCAGCCTGTACTGGTATGACGGGGCGGATTTATGCTGTGACTCGAATGCTGGCATGCAAGTGGTAGGTATTGTGGAAATGGTATTCCCCCAATTAAAGGATGTTGTAATGAACCTGATGTGGCAAAGGCTTTTTTATTTTGGGTGTTGGTATACATGTTGGTATACATGTTGGTATAGAACATATTGTAAGTAATCGTAAAACAGGTAGATTCGTGCTCCTACCTTCAAATATTAATAACTACAGTAGCAAGCTCCTGAGTACCGCACGCTCCCCACCTCACCGACTCCCCAGCACTGTTCCTGTGTTATTGTTGCATAATTGCAATATTTCTGTTTATCAAGAACTATAAAAAATGTACATGACCAAGGTAACAATAATAATGCAATGAAAAATGTTTTTTATTGTGTCTAGGTATGTTTGTGAAACAGACAGGCCAGAATGGTCCAGAACATAGCCTAAACTAGCCTAACCTAACCTAACCTAACCTAACCTAACCTAGCCTAGCCTAGCCTAGCCTAGCCTAGCCTAGCCTAGCCTAGCCTAGCCTAGCCTAGCCTAGCCTAGCCTAGCGACCTAACCTAACCTAATCTAACCTAGCCTAACCTAACAACCTAACCTAACCTAACCTAACCTAACCTAACCCCCCCTACCCCCCTACCCCCCCCCCCCCCCACCACCATATCCCCTTCAACCCAGTGTCCCATTGGCATCCATGTTCCATCCCACATATATGTACCATATTAAGAAGTTTTGTTTAGCCACCATATTCTCATTTTGCTTTTCATTCCCACCCAAAAATGTCATATTTCCCTACCATGTCAACCAATCCACAAACAGTATGGAAGACTGCTTGGATACCCAAGAAATATATTTCACTGGATTCTTGTTACCTTGGCCTCATACATTTTTATGGTTCTTGATGCGCTGTAATGTTGTGATCATGCAGTAATGTTGTGATCACACGTAGCAATGGCCGGGGTCGAGGTTGCTGCCTGTGTGCGGCTCTTGGATGATGTTCGCTATTGTAGTCATTAAAGTTCCAAGGTAAGAGTTTAGATGACCTGTTTTATGATTACTTATGATGTGTTCTGCCTTAAAAACAATGATTGATCTATATTGCTCTTTTTAACATGAGGTAGCAATGTATACCCTGACCTTATTTTGTGTGGAAGGAGCCCAAAATATTGATTCTGATGAGCTCAGAGATGTCAGCTCAGCACAACCTCATGTTCTAGCCATGCACTTTTGCAGTTGGCCTTTGGCCATTGGGCGGCAGTGTGACGTTGAAGTGCTGTCATGGTCAATTTGGTACAGCCATGTTATTGTCACAGGATCCAGCTAACACTTTCTCAGTTCATCACCGCATGGAAAATAAGTTATAAGATTATTCCATATGGACAAGCCACTCTGCAAAATGTGGAGGCCAGTTAGCAGTTGGATGTTTTAGTTTTGGTCAGGTCTAAGCCTGCCCCAAATGGGGCAGCTTCTTGGGGTAGGGGCTGATGATTTGATCACCAGGGGGCTCCAAGATTGTCATCATGATATGATTTGCACCTGCTGATTATACATTACTCATGTAGCTCTGGTCAGAAACATGTTGAATTTTCCATCTAGTATTTTGCATTGCATCTTATGGCTGCCAAAGAAATGGATTAATATTTCACAGTGTGAATGATAGAATCCCAGACTTCAGGCCACCACCCAGACACTGACATATCTGACATGTCATTACTTGCAGCTTGGTTGCCTTGTCAGTGAAAACAGCAGAAGCTGTTATGAGCAAAATACTTTGTTCTTGAGCAAGGTTTGTTGTGAGAATGCATCCATTAAGTGGTGGATTTCTTGCTAAAGGATTTTGTGCAAGCAGTTGTATCTTAAGCCAGATAGGATAATATGGCAGCTATGAAGGCAATTATTGAGCAGTTAAGACAAATATGATGCATTCAGCCTTTAGGCCACCCATGTCTTGATGGGTTGCCACTCTTCATGATTGTATGCACTCTGGTGTGTTTTCTTATTTTATGGTGATTATCTGTTATTACCATTTCTGATATGGTGATGTTTTAGGTATACTGAGATTGAGATTTGCATTGAGATCTTGTCAAGATGTGCATGATTTGCGACTTGTTCACTGGTGCATAAGGTTAACATGTCTTAATTGTTTGTTATATATGTTTTTCTGAAGAGGATTGCATCATAAAAACATTATTCTAGCCTGATTTTTAAACTGATTCTCAAAGTAATACATGCTTAGCCTTTTATTTAGGTATTTGGATGCTCAGATATGCTTAAAAATGCTGGGAGATAGTTGATCCCAAGGTAGTGGTTTTGTTAACATATTTCAAATTTGAGTCTCATAATGGTGTATTATTAACTGTACTTTTTTATACTGATAAAATGTGTGAATTAACAAGTCTCTTGAATGTTCTCTACTGGGGATGACTTCATCAAGGGCATTCCTTTTTGAAGAAATATTGTTTTATTTTATGTCATGATTTGCGACTGTGGGGCTCAACCTTTTTAAGATGTTTGACCTGTTGTCTTAATCAGAAGGCTTTTTTGCACACAAAAATGTACAAAATTTTTTGAGGAAATTTTAAAAGCAAGTGGTTAGTTAAGTCACATTTTATGTATGGTATGGCTGCTGATGGTCAAGTGACCTCCAGTCTTTGACCTATGTCTTTTCAATCTCTGGCTGCACTGCAACAGTTTTGGGAAGAAATGGCACAATAGTAGCTGGTTGCGCCATGTGCAATGTTTTCAAATTATCTGAATGCAGGCTGTTTGATCAGGCTGTGCCTAATGTAATGTAAGTAATATTGCAACTAGCAGTTTGCTGCCCTCATTTGATTAACTCTTGCCCTAATTTGCTGCTCTCAGAGTGCAGACTGGTGGAGTGGGGGGTTGCTACAACCTGACAGTTTCCAAGCTAATGAAGATAGAGTTTAGTGGAGAATACCCAGCAGTGGAAAACACCCATGAATTGGTCCAAACAAGGTCTTGCAATTGGTACTAATTTTTGTGTCAGGCCAGTGGACCCCATTATGCCAGGTCAGTCTGGCGTGACAGCGCCGCTTGGCTGAGATGCTGGTCCCAGTAACCCATACATGTGCAGTCGGTCCCGGGCGCTTGAGTGCAAGTAATGGGCTGGCCTTTTTGGGGACATTCATGAGGGCTTGAGTGCAAGTAATGGGCTGGCCTTTTTGGGGACATTCATGAGGACGTGTAATAGATCTCAGTCACCAGAGCAGGTAGAGATATCAGGCAACTGCATGATGTAGCTGAATGCACTGTGTGCAAACTCGTAAGCGAGATCACACTCCGACTCGTAGCAACGCCAGGCAGCTACTAGAAAGTGGCCAAATGTTGTTTTGAAACCTAGTCACAGATTTAACCTGCCTTGATGTAAAGAGAGACAGAGATATTGTGAAAAATGTGTTTTGTTTTGCAATATGTTGGCCACAAGGGCTGAAGCCACAAATTATTCCAAAATTGTTTGTTTTTACTCATAAGGCACATGTTGCCACCATAAACCAAGCTTGTTGCAGAGCATTATGCACTTGTAAATGTGTACCTGAGCACTACCTCGTTATTGTTGTTTTGTTTTGTTTTTTGCCTGCTTGACACCTGAAATGAGATATACTTCATTGCATATTTCAGACTGATTTGGTATGGGTCCTAAAAGTGATCGACACCTTTCGCTTGTATTTTGAGGCCATGCTGAAGAACTGAAATCTGTGATCACCACCATTGTGCCATGCTGCACAAGATGTATCGCCTTCTATCAGATAGAACATGTTCCATTGTTTATCAGGTAGACAACAATAAACCAGGGGTCACTCACTGTTCATAATCATGCAAGCGCTGCATTGTTAATCACTATTTGCCTAGTTTACTTTGCAATGTCACTGTTCCCGAATGCCTGCACCATAGTCCTCCTATCTCCTCATTAACATTTCACGTCAACGTCCGCGAGATTGCCATGCCAAGGCTGATAGCACGTGGCATTTCGCTGCAGTCCGCATGCCCAGTGTTTGCCTATTGTGCGCTGGAATGTGAAACGCGAGCAGCCGGTGGGCCAGCCCGACCTTGCCCGCAGCAGATACCAGCGCCCTCCACATGACACCGCAGGGCCCAGGCCCATTCGTCACACCGTCAACACACTGGCGCGTGCTGAGCTGGCGGTGCGGTCCGTCGCCGGCTCGTGTCACCGCTGGGCAACAAAGGGGGGGGGGAGGGGCTATCATGTGCCCTACCCGCCTCTGCAGCGCTCACAGTGTCCTGTTGTCCCGACCGACGGCCCCGTCGGCCCCGGCGAGGTGACGTCAGCGCGCTGCTGAGCCGGACCTCTGCAGGCCCTCTGCCGGCATTGTCCGCGCCGCCCCGCGCCCGGCTAGGCGGCGGTGGGCAGCTCACTGTGTGTTCTGGCGGGTCCGTGCCGACGGCCACCCGGTGCGGGGCGGGTCAGTCGGGGTCGCGTCGTGGCCCTGTCCGCCGGGGAGTCGGGGTGTGTTCAGATGAGCGGCGGTGTATGTGTCGACGTCAGTGTCCGTGGGTGCTCTCGCTTGTCCCTGTGTTTCGTTCTGACTGGCCGCACGGTAAGCCGTCTCGCGGTGTGTTGCAGGTCCCGCGGGTCGAGCGAGTCCCCCGCGGCTAGCTGAGCCTTCGGTCGGCCTCGTGACCCGCGCAGGTCACCGTCCGGGCCCCGGCGGCTGTCACCTAGGTCTCCAGAGCCTCGGTGGCCGTCTGGGGGCATCCCGAGGCCCGACGGCCCTCTCCTGGGCTCCAGACGTCGCTCGCCGCCGCCGCCGCCGCCATGGTGTCTCCGGCCACGTCGCTGCCCGACTCGCCCCCCACCTCCTTCATGTCGGAGGATGGAGACAACAGTGACCGGAACGAGAGTGAGTGATTGCTGCTCGCGACGTACCGAGTGGAAGTGTGTCTCTTTCACTACAAAAGAAAGAAAGATGTTGGCACATAGCCAAAACCCCCTTATGTTGATCTTTTGCCTCAAGCGGGACGTTTGCACCCCTCCAAAAAATCGCTGAAGCCTTAAAAGAACCAATACCAATGTACGCAAATGCATGCAGTGCCCCGATGCTTATAGTTTGATAGACCGCTGCCCCGGGACGTGCCAGTGTTGCTGACCTCGTGGTTTGCAGGCGTTGCTCTCCCATCCTCGTCGCATATGTTTCTGATGACGACTACCGGAATGTTTTCCGGCAACTAATGACTCGACTGCACGTGTTCCTCGCAAGTTTTGGAGGCCAATTGCTGCACATTCTGCCCCGGCATTGCTGATTGCCGGGGTTCATTCAGCGGTTTCGTAACTGCCGTCAGCGTCATTAGGAAGGTGGACCACGAGCGGAATGCCTTCACAATCTGCACAATGCGCACGGGAAGCACTGAAGAGCGGCGACTGAGTGACGACGGGAGCAGGGACATGTTTGATGACCTGCTCTGGTCAGTATTGTTGAGCAGCGGCGCGGCAGCCGCCGGACGCCGTTGCCCGCCTCTGCTGACCCGGCCGGCCGGCCTGCCCGCAGACGGTCCGCCGCCGTCGCCGGCGACGGCCATGGTGGCGCTCGACGCGCAGCCCGTCACCTACTGCGAGCCCACGTTCTGGTGCTCGGTCAGCTACTACGAGCTGTCGAGCCGCGTGGGCGAGACGTTCCACGCCTCACAGCCCAGCCTGACCGTCGACGGCTTCACCGACCCGAGCAGCTCGGACCGCTTTTGCCTCGGTCTGCTGAGCAACATCAACCGAAACCCGGTGGTGGAGCAGACGCGGCGCAACATCGGCCACGGCGTCCGGTTCTACTACATTGGTGAGAAGGCCGCGCTGTGGTGAAGGGTGGGGTGTACGTCATCGGTGAAGGAACGGCCGCTATGATGAAGGATGAAGTCTATTACGGCGGTGAGGGACGGCCGCTGCTGGAGAAGGGCGGGGTGCATTACGTTCGTAAGGGATGGCTCTGTTGTTGAAGGTAGGGTTTATGATATAGTCGGTGGGGATTAAGGTGCCGCTACTTCGGTGAGAGGGGGGGGGGGGGGGCTGTGTCGCATCGTTGAGGGAGTTGGAGAGGTTTTCTGCTGCGGCGAAGGGTGGCCTACCTTTGCAGGGGGTGCGACTAGGTTATATTGATGAAATGGGCGTTGTTTTTCATTGGTGGAACACGATTTACCATTATCTTGCGCCATCTATGCTTTCGATATCCCCTAGTGATGAGACTACTTTCGAATCATCTACCCAAAAGTGTGTGCCGCACCGGGTCGACCCCGTGATTCTACCTCATCCCCCGTCCAAACGGACGTCTGTTCCGAAGTTTACGCCCCCCCCCCCCTCCCCCTGAGAGACCGGCACTGTTCGGTGTTGTCTCCCCATTAGTGGAAGCGCGGTGTGCGCCGTTAGCCTATGGTTTGGTGCCTCTAGCTGCTGACTGCACATCGCGCTTAACAGCCGAGCTGTCACCACCAGTGGGGAAATAGCCGGATCAAATGAAAATCAAACGGAATTATATAAAATGGAGACATTGATCATTGATGATCAATGATATAAAAGGGAAACATCACGTTGATCGTGAACCCCAGCCAGCGAACCGCTCAGGTACCCAGTTTGCGTACGATGCTGCACGGACACGGGAAGCGCGGCAGTGCCAGCGAGCTGACCTGCCGTGTCCGCTTTCCAGGCGGCGAGGTGTTCGCAGAGTGTCTGAGTGAGTCGGCGATATTCGTCCAGTCGCCCAACTGCAACCACAGATTTGGCTGGCACCCGGCTACCGTGTGCAAGATTCCCTCCAGTGAGTACAGTCTTGGTGGCGCCAGGTCTTGGCTAAGCCGAGACCTGACCTACCTCGACCTCGAAGTGTGTCCTAATCGACCTCGAAGGCCAATTAGGAGACCTGCGCCTTAAGTTGTTTGCTTTTGTTTGCTTATGCGTATTTGATCGTTCTGCGTGATTTGCGTGCTGCCACATTTCTCACGGTCATTATTGTATGACGACACGCGATGCAGTCAGGTATTTCGGATTTGCGCGTAGGGATTTGGCGTGCTTCGGCTGAGACTATACTGAGAACTCGCCCCCCCCCCCCCCTCCACACACACACACAGAGTGTAACCTGAAGATCTTCAACAACCTGGAGTTCGCGGCGATGCTGGCCCAGTCGGTGAACCAGGGCTTCGAGGCGGTGTACAGCCTGACGCGCATGTGCACCATCCGCATCAGCTTCGTCAAGGGCTGGGGCGCCGAGTACCGCCGGCAGATCGTCACGTCGACGCCCTGCTGGATCGAGCTGCACCTGAACGGGCCGTTGCAGTGGCTGGACCGCGTGCTCACGCAGATGGGCTCGCCGCACATGCCCTGCTCGTCCGTGTCGTAGTCGGCGCTGCGCCGCCCCGTCTTCCCACCGCGCCGGCTCTGCCACGCTCGCGCCGGGTCCGCGCTACGTCCCGCCCGCGCCGCCGCTGCCGCTCCCGCTGGCGGACGGCCGGTGTGCGGCGGCGCGGCACGCGGCGTGCGTGGCGCTGCTCCGGCGGCCGTGGTCGGCTCCCCGCCGGGCGGTGCTGAATCTCGGTCGGCCGCGCCGCCCGTAGCCCTCTCCCCAGGCGCGCCGGCCCGGTGCTGGTGCTGGCTGTTCGGAACTGGTGTCAAAGAACAATCAGGGTGCGTTCGTGTGGTGACGCAATACGTATTGTGGCTGTTCCCTGAATGTATATTTGTGTATTGAGGGGGATGGGCGGAGCTTGGGTGACATTAGGCGGGGGGGGGGGGGGGGCTTGCAAGAAACCATTGCTTCTTGTAAGCGTGTGCTGGCAGGCGTTTTAGATGCAAACACGCTGGTGGGCGTATACCACACATGTGCTGAATGCATGTGACTTTGCTGAGTGTCCCAGGCTCATTTTGATAATCATGGACTGTAAGGCTCATCCTGACTAAGTACCTGTTGGTGTGTATGCGTGTGTGTAGGTGGCTCGACATTGACGGGGCGTGGTTGCTCATCTGTCATCGTGACTGGTCTTATGCGCCGCGCGTTTCTCACAGGACATGCCAGCTCCTGTTTTACCACTGTAGAAATTGGCACTGCCCCGCCACGAAATGCATCAGGATGTGCGGCCTGTACACAGCGTCTTTGTACGTGCTAAATGTATCATCGGGGGAGTGTTCGCCAGGGGATGGATGTGGTTCTCCTGGTGGTGCTGACCCGCGGACGATGTGATCAGGGAGGAGGCTATGGACCGGCTGTAGCATTGCAGGACATGCTGACGCATGGCCGCCAGAGTCGCGGCACGCTCTCCGGACTATTGTGTGGACGGATGGGTAGGTCGTCGGGATTTAAAGCTATATAGGAACGACGAATGGTCATTTTCGTTTGCACGTCGCGTACCTGAAGACAAAAATCATGAAATCATCACCGCCAATGAACCGATGCTGTACTTTTATGAAATCGTGCTGCCCTAGATAAACTATTTGTATACCTTGCGGTTGTCCTACCAATTGGGTTGTGTGATGCCGTAGATTCGACGCCCATCTGTACGTCACGTGCCGATCTTCGGCATGCTGATCCGCAGGTCCGGGAGGACACGTTCCATGTTCCAACACCGACATGACGCTCGAGACACGCTCAGCAGTTACTTGCGACAGCTAGCGGGAGTGCGTTTCGTCCGTGAAGGATGCGGAACCGTGGGCGTGCGAACGCCGAAATTGCGGGCGGGCAGGGGGCTTTCTCTCCCGCCTTTGTCCCTTCATAAACTCGTGAGGCTGCTTGTGTTGGAGGGGGGAAAAGTACGTGTGGACCTGTGCATGTTCTTCCACCGTCATCGGTGTCCCTTTAGATACTAGCTCAGTGCCCCTCCAGAGATCTTCGGGGCACTTATCATCGTTGTCACTCATTTGCAGGATGTCCGAACTTCCATGCAAATTACGAACCGGTCTGAACATACGAGTATCACTCCATCAGCGAGAGTCCACGACTGTAGACCAGAGCTCAGTGGTCAGATGAACACGAGTAGACGGTGCCGCGTCAGGATCAGCGACAGCAGTAACCCCATCCGGCCGAATCTGTCAAGGATAAAAGGCATTTTCCATGCATCCCAAGTATTCTTATGGTTGGAGGGTACTGAGTGCCCGCAAACATGGGTGACTATAAGGACGTTTGGAGAATCCCTCCCTGTGTACTTTGAACTGCGACAGTTCTGGATGAAGGGCGCTGCAAAGGCTGCGCTTGCCGGCATGGGCTACGTATATCACAAATGGTGGCAGAGCAGTGGTCCTTATAGGGTCGTTCTACCGTGAAGTTAAGGTCCCATGTCGTGGAGAATCATCCTGGTGATTCTACCGCTGTCGTGGCGAACAGGATTCTACCGCAAATTTTTAAAGGACCTGAAGTAGACCCGGCGGGTGGACCAACCGCCCATCATTTGCGGAAGCAAGCCGGGCCCGCCGACGTATTGTTTCCCGCGCGCGTTTTAGCTTCTTTAGATAGGAAGAACTCCTTTTTTGGTAAATTGCGATCGCACTGAATAGAGCACCATGTCGTCATACCACAAGCCGGAATCGAAAACTCTTCAGGAGCTTCGCGATATTGCTCAAAAATTGCGCATTCACAGCATTGATGCGACGTCTGCTAGCAATTCCGGGTGAGTACATGGGGTGGATTTATTCTGAACATTGAAATGCATGCTGCTGATGGTGTTGCAAGGCCCTAAAAGTTATTGGTGTGATGCCTACACAACAATTTAAACATGTCAACAAAGAAGCTGTTTGAAAGTCTGGCCGCAGATCAGGCTGTGTAAAATACTATTCAGGTACGCTTGACCTGTCGAGTAGCAGAAAAACCGAGAAATACCATTTCAGCACGTGTGCAGTGAATCTGAGGGTCTCAGTTTAGTGCTTGGATGCTACCCATTTCAGTCTGCCAAGACCCTATGTTTCTAGGGACTGGTCTTATGTAGTGATAGTCGAAAATATGAATCCCCTTGGGTATTTTCTAGCAAACATTTGTTGGAATTTTATCATTATAGTCTGGAATAGATAGAAAAAAATATATATATGGTGGCACCTCTGGACCACATGCGACAGAAACACGACATGACATTGACACAACAACAACTGACGGACAGCGCTGACATTTTACGGACGTGCAGTGACAGAAGACGCCTTCAAATTTGGGAAAGCGTATTAATTATATATATATATATATATAGTATATATATAT